TTTGCTAGTGAGCTGGTCACTCTGCAAAGGTGTGTTGCAGGACTGTGCTAAATCGCATTACCCTGCGTACCACCAAGCACCCACCTTACTCAAAGGCTGTTCGGGATGTTGTGTTCTTGGTATCTCTTTGTACCTGTTAAAACATATCTGAGCCTTACAATAAGAATTTAACCCACGTGAGTCACAGCAAAACGTCAGGCTGGAGGGAACCTCCTGGGTCATCAAATGTCCCCCACTGTCACAGCTACCTCCTGTAGCTCCTCTAGACTTTGTCAAGTTGTGTTTTACCTTGAAAATGCAGAATCCACCATCTTCCACACATTAAAATCAGACAAACTCCCAGACACTATATTCCCAGCCTTCCTGTCTCTCTCAGCTGTGAACATGGACTTGAGCTGAAAATCATGTTTCAATACATAAAAGAACATATTTCCTTGCACACAGTGGGTTGTAACTCTGGAACTTACTACTGTGGGCTCAGAAAGGGGTTAGAAACTTTGCTGCACAGCAGGTCACTAAGCAGAGGGCTAGACCAGGTAGGGATGTGCCTCTAACATCGAATGAGAGCGAGGGGAACAGACCCTAGCCAGGATCTCTGACTGTCCCCAGCTGAGTGTGGTCACTGGGCTCCTGGCCCGACCCAGCAGGACAATCCTTGTGTTCCAATTGCTCTTCGCAATGTGATTCCCCTTGTGTTGTTCAGCCCTTTCCAATCAGCTCTTGTTGCTGTTGAAGGCCACTCCACAGCTTTAGGTGACTACGTGGAGCCCTGGGTGACGGATTGGGTTTTACACAGCTTGAGAAAGACCCTGAAAGAAGAGGAAAGCTTCTGGTGCTCGACTAGTCTGCGGAAGGCCTCTCAAACCATGGTGCCCACGCTGGTTTTCCACATCTCCATCCCAGGCCAGTGCAGAACCAGCTGGGAGCTGCTGCTGGAGAGACTGGCAGAGCTAAGTAAGTTTGGGAACTCGAGAGAGGGACCAGCAGGGACACACTGTGACAATCCAGGTGTTCCTCCCTCATTCTTTGCTCCTAGATCTCTTAGGTTTGTATCTCACCAAGGGCAGCACCTGAAGCCAAAGCCTTGGAACTCTGTAGCCACGTTCAGAGCTGGAGACCCAGCGTGGCTGAGAGAAGGGTGAGGGACTCCAGGCTCTCCCCTTGCACCCAAACCACCCTGCAGTCACAGTGTCCTTTGGCTTTAGCACCTGTGTTACGGTGCCTGCAAGCTGCTGCTGACCATGCTTTGGGCTGCTTGGAGGAAGGTGTCACTAGGTTTTAAGCACCTGTCCCAAGAGCTGCTGAGCCCGGAGACATCCACTGGCAGACAGCCCAAGTGGGACCTTCTAGATGCTGGGGATCATCTGCTCCAAAATGCAGGATCTGCGCAGGCCTGGCAGCTGCTCCTTCCCCAGCTGCTGCTTTCATTTCCTCACCTTTCCTGGGATTTGCCTGTCTTCTCCACAGGAACGGCCCAGCGACACATTCAGAGCCAGCAGGAAGGGAGGCAGCTCTTCCCAGCGCAGATCCCGGTGTGATGGCTACGGAAAGGC